TCCAAAGGCAACTGGGACCACGGCTACCCTCCCAGCTGAGCCTCTCTCCCCAGACTTCTCCAGTGGCCTCCCAACCGGTCTGCAGTCCAGCCCCAACATACCAGGTCACGGCCTCCCCTGCTCAGAGCCCTGTACCAGCTCCCCATTGCAATCAAGGTTAAAGCCAAAGCCCTTAAAGAGACCCCACATGATACAACCCCCCCATCACTCTTCTACATAACTGCTGCTCTCCCCCTTTCTCCTTCCATTCCAGCCACATGGCCTCTTGCTGTGCTTCTGAATGAGCTGGCTGCTTTGTCTTAGGGTGTTGCCCCAGCTGCTCTCTCCATCTGGACCACTCTTCCTCCATGTCTGCAAAGCTAACTCTCCCACCTCTTATAACTCTTTGTTCAAAAAGTAACTCCTCAAGGAGGCCGACTCTGATGACCTTCTTTAAAATGACCACTAAGACTAATCGGGGGGATCACTTTGTAAGGTATATAAATGTCTAACCACCTGTACACCTGAAACTAATATAATATTAAATGTCAACTGTCGTTGGAAAATAATAAAATAAAATGATAGCCAAGCTCCCTGCCCCATCCCTGTCCCCCACCCCAATACTCCCAAGCCCACCTACCCTACATTATTGGTAGGTTGGGATTTGGGGGTGGGGTTTTGTGGGGTTTTATTTTCAAGACTTACTTCCTTCTAACTAACTCTTTAACTTACCTACCTATCATGCTTATTTTCTGTCTCCCTCACCAGAATGTGGTGTCCAAGAAGGCAGAGATTTTTGTTCACTACTATTTTTCAACTGCCTAGAAATAATTCCTGGCACATATTAGGTGTTTGAAAGATGTAGAATGAATGGATTCACAATGAAGAGTAAATCACTGATGTGGTTAATGAGTCTCCATGCCCTTGTCGGTGTAGTTACCTCTCAGAGGGCACAGTCTGGGCTTTTGGTCACTAGAATGAATAGCTAATAGTAGTAATTCATACATCAGTCAGCTGCGGGGAGTGGGGGCCCTCTTTTGAGGCAGCTTCCCTCAGATGACAGAACTGCCCCCATGCTAATGT